CAAAATATTAATAGACGCCGCCCCCGAATAGACGCCGCATCTGGGTGCGAAAATAATGATACCAGCAATTTTTTTATTTCGAAGTGACTACTTTTTTTGCTCTCAGCAGCTGTTAGATTCCGACCACGAGGAGGACATTACGACAAAATGAGCACGACATTTATATATTGAGAATCGTTACTGTTTGTTAGTAAAAATATACAATATAAAGTACGGTATTTAGTACTGAATAAAGTGTTTTTTCAATAAACGCCTTCCCCGAATAGACGCCGCCCTCGAATGAACGCCGCACCTGGACTGTGAAAATGAAACAAACGCCGCGGCGTCTATTCGAGTAAATACGGTAGTCGTTCCAAGTAATTTTGGCAACGCTTGTAGCAGGTGGCAACCTGTTTTAACAGGTTTTAACTTAAAAGTCATATTTTCTCTGTATTTTTTTACATGTAATGAATTTTATTTATTATGACAAAAATGAATCTTTATTAGAGACTTAACATATTCCGATCTCTATAAATATTTGCTGTAATTTAATATTCATATTTAATTGTTGTAATTTCTTGATATTTTAAGATATAAAAGAGCAACTTCAGCACAATGATCTAGTTGTAGATGACATAACTGTTCATCTTGATAATAAAGAATTCTTGATTACTATAACAAATAATTTTGATCTTGGTGCACCACCCAACTGAAAATACTTCCAAAACCATRYAGTGGAAGTGTTCTACAGCTGAAATCCACACAGACATCCTACCACATTTTTATCGCAAAATTCAGATGCTTTTTCAGCATTTTTCGTGTACAAAAAATCGATTTACAAAACGATGTTTATCAAAGCTAAATGACAGACATATCCTGAACACATGACCAGAAAAATTGACTTAAATTCGTGATTTACAATCAAAAGACATGAAGCGCGCCCCCCGTATAGTTCGTTATTCAATGCATTATTGGATTTTTGATTTTATTTTTCGTTTTTAAACTTCAGATTAATGCAAAATTAAATTCAAATCTCGAACTCTGATAATGACAGAAAACAACACAGCATTTCCAGCTTTTTGAGGCCGTCATTCCTTTCTCACGAGAAGGAACAGATGCAACCAAATTGACAGCATACAGCAACTTGGAAATTACAAAAGAACAGCATATTTACAAGCGAAATACGAAGAATGCTTTATGAAAATCCCATCAATAATCCAATCAAATTTCGAAGTTTGAATTCAAATTTGATTTCAATAATGTAATGTTGAATCGACCYAGAATCGAATAATGAATTGAATAATGGTGTTTRGATGGGGCGCGCTWCATGTCTTTGGACTGTAAGTTCCAATTCCTCGCCGTTTATGAAGGCGTTTCTGCTGTGTYGCCGAGAAGGAATGGGAAAGAGGAGTGGGCTATCATCTCCACTTGTAGATAACAAATCACACAAAAATCTATTGTCAGAGATTTAACTTATAACTTCAAGTACTAACAACAGGGAATATTTTGCTAATAACSTTTCTATAAATCCAAAATGAACATTTCCATCTATTCTCATTGTAAAATTGATGTAAACTGGCTATAGCATTGGAGGTGAAACGATGGCCTATTGCATTCATCGTGTCTAGACGGCAATCGTGRACARCATCATAGCGAACAGAGTAGCCYGGAATCTGTGTAGCCTCAATTGAGGCATTCAACATGATAACAGCTATATATGCATCGTCAGTGAACGCTGGACTTTGCTTACGAGACCAGTTTATAAGTAGCGGCACGGCGTCAATAGATATTATATGAAACGCTCCGTGACAAAACGGAGGCCATAMGTCCTCTTTGTAAACATCTCTAGGAAGATACCATTTGTCAGTCTTTCCACGATTGACATTTAGGTGTTCTTTCTCAACATSCCCACCGTAAAACGGMCGGGGAAATTGTTGTTTCTGCAACCAATGTATAGTCTGTGGYATGCGAACGTACACGTCGTCGTCAGTCTTCAAAACATATCGACACGAAAGCCTTGATAAAACCCAGTAGTGACCCATGAAGGTTTTCGTAGCTATGTTATAATAATGATCAGTAAAATTTCCCACTAGTACATCATTGAATTGTTCAGCTTCCATTTGATTCGCTTGGTTATATTGTGAAGCATTTGTTAAGCCAAGTGRGAATACCAGAAGCCATGATTTATTTTCGATTAAAAGCGGTCGTCCCCACGTGTTACGAATCGCAGAACGCAACTGTTTGTGCTCTAGTCCTTCAGCTGCGGAGTTCACTATAACTGCCATAAAAACATCCCTCTGTCTACGTGATAGCTTAGGTTCAATGAACGGCAACATCAGTGAAAAGTTAAAATCTTTCTTGTCCGGAAAGATATCGTCTTCCTTCTTACGGAGTGATGTAATTAGAATCAACACAAATGTACAGAATGCGAACATCAAGACGATTCGTCTTGCCTTTCGAAAAGGACAATTTCTTGTCAAGAAATTAGAACCAGTCTGCATTTTCTAAATACTGCTGTATTCAGATTTCTTGTTTACAGTTCACCGTGGGTCGATTACACGACAAAAGCTGTTGACGTAAGAACACGTGATACCTTCGTATGTTGCGAAACAAATACTAAGTCCTTACCAAAGGAATAATAATGAGATTTACAGCATTATGGTTTGATTTATTTTGGTTTCGCAAGAACCTCGCACTCAATGAAAAGATATCGAAAACGTCGGTTCCAAACTTAACCGAATTAAAAAACAGTTAAAAATTTACATAATACATCCCGGGTCAACACCTCGCACGGGGCAACACCTCGCATGGGACCRCGTGTCTCGTTTGTGCTGCCCCATATAGTCTCTATTTATTTATTAATCTATGTATTTATTAATTATTCGACTCGATCAGTGAATGCGTTTCATTTTCTTAGAAGAAATCACTGTTATCCTTTTACGCTTACAAAAATTAAAAGATATATATATCTCGTATACAAAATGAACAAAAAATTCACTAAAATAATATGACGGGTGGCAAAAGAATAATCATTGGTTCTAAAAAAAAAACTACAAAAAAAACATCTTTTGCTGTTCATCGAAGGATAAACACGCAAAGAAATATTCGCTAATAATGAAATATTCACTAATGATAAAGAAAATAAACAAATTTCACATGAAATTTAACAACAACGAAGGGGTTTGTGAAATCCAAAAAACACGTAATCAATGAAAAACGCGCTAAATTATGCAAAATTAAATCACAAGTTTCACAAACAGGTGTTAWAACAGGTATTCAAAAGCCAGACATTCTCCAAGCTACGCACGGCGGACGGTGGGGTCGCTATGCACCGTTTATTTTAAAAGAAAAAGTAAACATTATCTTAATTGCAAGATAAACAATAGATCAAAAGTACAAGTAAAACAACTTAAATAGTAACATTATATAACCATATTTGTATAACAATGTTACTCCATTAATATATGATATTACTATTTCTAGCAGTTTTGTTTTTAGACTGAAAACAATTTATCTTGAAAATCAATAATATTCGCGATGGCCCCTAATTAATAATAATTAGTGTCTTCTCAGAAATCGTGAAAAACGACATTTTTTGAAGATTGACTGCATAATATATTTTAACATTTTTAATAATTAAATGATTTGTATGTAGCTTTAGAACAAACAAATTTGTTTTATTGCAGACCAAGGCACTTTCCTTCTCGAAAAAACATTTTTCGCCTCTGGGTGGGGAAGGAAATGTTTCTATATTTTTAGTTTTTATTGCTAAACCAGCCAAATTTAAAAAGATGGTTTCATCTTATGGACTATAAACATAAATTTTTAAATTTTAGAGGACCTTGAATTTTGAATGCAACGTTTAGTCGGCAGGTGACTGAGTTACATAATAGAGAAGTTTAGCATGACGTTCACGGCAAACGCCGAACGGCAGAAAAGATCACGTAACCTACTTTTTTGAGTTTAACGTTGCAGTTTCAACGCGCGAGAGGGTTATTTTGAGGTTGCCATAATCGTGAAAAGCCGCTCTTTCAAATGACTACCAAAAGCACAAGGTTGAGCACGAAATTCTTAGGTCATTGGTTTAGCTCTGCCGTTAGCCGTTTGCCGTCAACGTGATGCTAAAACTCTCTAATACTTGCTTTTTGCATGTTAGCCTAGTCAGGTTTGACATTTGATCAATAGTGGGAAAATCAACATTTCAATAATGTTGTCTCCGAGGATTGATGCTGTTAAAGCAATATTAAATCCCCGGTTTGAATGCGGGGGTGGGAAATGGGAAACCGGGGTTGCAGAATCAAGCGCCCGTTTTAAACGTCGTAAATACAACTGAGATAATAATTGAAAAATTACTTTAAAAGTTCCACACATGTGAGATAAAGCTATTATTATTAATTTGTACATTTGCTATTTACATTTCTGGATCGCTGTTGTAGTTTGATGTCTTTCACTGTAAGGCCGTCTTAGTTAATGGAATGGTCAGCTCGTCAATGTTTCCATTCACCTGTCATTAAAATATATGAATTATCTCTAATTTTTCCTTGTAACGGTGYAATCATTTTAGTTGAATAAAACAAGAATCGTTTGCGTTTTTTCCACGTTAAATTTATTTACTATTTTCCATGCTAAATCGGCTTAACTATATCCATCACTAATAGAATAATTACAGTTGTACTATTTACAAAACTTCAGGTCGGAACTAAAAAAAATTTTGTTGTTGTTTTAAAAATCCCTAGCTATAATGAGCCATGCCCTGACCAAAATATCGAAAGCGGACTATTCCCTGTCCCTCCCCAGGGGTCAGGGGTTYGGAGAGATTTTGAAACTGGAGTATTCTCGCAGTCTTGAAAAAACATGGTATCAATCACTGTAAGTGCAACTGCTTTTTTGCTTTAACTAAGACAATCTTGTACAAAGCATTTCATAGTTATTACATTAAAACTTGTTACTTACTGRAACACTATGAGCTTGTAAGCTTCTCTCTTGTGTACTGAGGGTAGATGCTGCTGCAAGTAGTTCTTGACATCTAAGGAGAATTATTTTTATTACATACTCAATATACTGATATAAATTACAACAATCAAATAATTATAACAATCAAAAAATGACAACTCACCTAGATTGCTCTTCAACTTCATCCCTGGTTACTTTAGACAATAAACTCATCTCTTTGGAAAAATTAGATATCTATGAATTGAAAAGAAAACATAGACAAATCAGACTTTCAAAGCGCAGCAAAAACTCATCAATTTACAAACAATATTTTTCTTAAAATATGAGATTCAGTACCTTATGGTTACGATGTCTTGTTAAGCCATCTATTTCYCCTAGCAGTCGTTCACTCTCTGATAGCGCCAAAAGTAATTCCTCTAATGAAACAAAATATACCATTCAGTAGATTGATTATCCTCTTTCTCTTCTTTAGTGTTGGGATCCCTGTGTCAACACAGGWACCCCAATACAAAAAAACATCAACAAAGTGATATCAAATATAGAAAAATAAACTGACCTTGATTGTCCACAATAACATCATTAACYGGCAACTGCTGACAAGTTGTATCAAGTGCTGATGAAAGTTGATCATAATGTAGAATTTGCTTGGCTAGATTGCCACCTATTGACTTTAAGCCAGTTAGCTGAAATAAGAGAAAATAAGAAGGTTTTAGTGGCTGATATGCTTCAATACATCCATGTTGTTCAAACTATCAGATAGCAATATCCCCTGTTAGTACAACAGGACAGGCAAACTAAATACATTATTGTTGCACATATTATTCAATTAATARTATTTATTAATCTTCAACACCTTTACTGCGTAAATACCTGCAGGTCAATCTGCTCATCGACTTCAGAACAGTGAATTTTTGCATCAAGTTCCAATTCTAACTGAGATATTTCTTGTCTTAATGTCTCATTTTTCTTCCACATTGAATAAAGCTGAGCCTGTAAACAGATATTTCAAAAAGCAACATTTTAAGCCCAGCCTTAGAAATAAGCAACACAAATGCTAATACAAGAGATGGAACTTTTTTTTGTATGTTTGCATTTGTGTTTACATTTTGAACTGCCACATTATTTTTCACTGGCATTTGCATTCCCATTTCTTGTGTGAACCAAGCTTTTGCAACCTGGATTGCAAGCAAACACGCATACCTGACATTCACCTACCTGAGCATCCTTTTGTTGTTTTTGGAAAGTGCTCTTAAGCTTTAAAACATGAATAAAATAACTTATTAGTTTTTAATTATAATTCAATGCTGACCATGACATTAAATTTCTAAATTAAAAAAAAATAAATAAATGTATAACTGACTTCCACTCCTCTTCTCCCTCCCAAAACCCCATTGTCAGCACTAACTTTTCATACCTCATGTATRCATGCATGACTTCTAAGCCTATCAAGAACTGCAAAAGTATTATTATAATACACAATATACCTTGGATTCAAGAAAAGCCCACTGCATTAGCCTGGCATACTCTAGTTCCATCTGTTGTTGTGATATTTCACCAATCTATACACAAATCTAGTTAGCGTTTTTAGTTTGCATACTACATGRAARATTGGGATTTSAGGTTTGTTGTAGRTKATGTTTAACAAACCTCTTGTCCTTTCTGCTTTGTGAGGTGATCAAGTTGTTTCTGTGGTAGAAGTGGTGCTGCAAATTAAATCAACAGATTAGTATACTATTATATATTTATTATTGATAATTAATTAATGAGACACATAATCAGTTACTTGACCAATCAATCAATCAATCAATCAAGCAAGCAAGCAATCAAGCAAGAAAGCAAGCAAGCAAGCAAGCAAGCAAGCAAGCAAGCAAGCAAGCAAGCAAGCAATCAAGCAATCAAGCAAGCAAGCAAGCAAGCAAGCAAGCAATCAAGCAAGCAAGCAATAAATCAATCAATCAATCAAGTAAGCAAGCAAGCAAACAAGCAATCAATCAATCAATCAATCAATCAATCAATCAATCAATCAAGAAAGCAAGCAAGCCATCAATCAATCAATTAATCAAGCAGTCAATCAATTAATTAATCAATCACTCAAACAATCACTCAAACAATGAATGAGTCAATTATATCAATCAATCAGTCAATCGACCAATCATTAAACAGTCCATTATTCATTCAATCAATCAGACAAAGAGTCAATCAAATATAACCAATCCATCTATCAATTTGTCAATCATATCATAAACAGCTAATAAATCATTAGTCTCCTTCGCAACCTCCCCTTTTGCCGGGATTCCTGTTGGAGGGACAGGAAGCCCYACAAAAGGGGAGGCTGCAAAGGAGACCAATAAATCATTCAATTTTCCAAAAACCTTTTATTTTTGCTGATTTCTTAGTCTTTTCTTCACCTTTACCACCCCTTTCAGTGGTCCTGGTAGAAGACACTKCCTTGACATGAGGGGACACACCACGTGCCCTGACTTGGGGAGAGACACCCCTTGCTGCTGTTTGACCAGGAGCTAAGATGGGTGTTGGTGCYGTCATATCACCCCCTGGATGACCAGGCAAAACACCAAACGACCCCACGGCAGGTGTTGACGTTACTATTTTACTGCTTTTTAAGCTAGTATTATGTTGATTAGGTGCGGTCATGTTAAGTTGTGTTGAGTTGTGTTGAGATGAGTAATCCCTTGAAGGGTGATTGAATGACACTTGYCGTCTACTCTGTGTGSTCTTTTTAGATGCAGAAGTCGCTTTTTTACTATCCATGTATCGTGAGGGTATAATACGACCTTAAATATCAATGAAAGATCATAAAAGAAGAAATTATAATCAATGTCCTTGAAATAGCAAATCTTTTGATAGAAGCAGCGAGTTGTTTCCACTAATCGGTTTGTTTTTAGGCCAAGTATCTGGTTTCAAGCATAAACAATCTCACTTTCATGCCGTATTTTAGCTGTCAAACACGTCAAATAAACGAATCAATAAGAGGTCATCATTTTGATCTGTGATTTGTTTACTAAAATACAGCATGAAAGTGAGATTATTTATGCTTGAAACCAAAGGCTTGGCGTGAAAACAAACCGATTAACAGAACAGTCTACTGCTTTTCAGCTCGACATTATACTTATAAGCAAAAGAATAAAAGACAAMCTTCTGGAACCAGGGTAGCAAAAGTCCCCTGACAGTACATGTATTTCAACCAGTGCTCTTCTTGATAGCTGTTAGAAATTKTAACCACGATGTTGTTATCCTTAGAATTGATTGATAAACTCACCTGCTTTTTTCTTCTTTTTCTTTTTTTCATCTGCCATACTAAACAGAAAAGAAATTATAATTTGTATTTCTGGTTTCCAATCAAGAAATAATGATCAATAAAAATACCTTTGACTGCCCACAGCACTTGTTTCCATWGTACATGAATCAACRGATGCCACTAAATTTCAAAATAACAATGTCATGTTAACATGCWTGCTAGATTTTTTTTACCAKGGGATGATTCTGAGTTCTCCAAGATGTATTACAACATAAAGACTTGAATCTCTCTGAAAACTGAAAACCCTTGGAAATAAGGGAAWTTTTTGATGGGTAGCACTGTTCACCTATGTGACAAACAAATATTTTTTCSGCAGTCTAAGTGTGAGTGAAGTGTTTGCAWGGAATATAAAAAAGAATTTTGAAAAGCTTTCTGGTTACAAGAGCATCTGCAAATTCAGCTAAAATTGAAGTCAAAGTTGCAMTACCTATTGATACATYATAATTATAAATTTATAGTGACACACCTGAAAAGTCAAAAAGCTGTTGCCTGACGTTTGATTGGTTCAATGCCGCAGACAATGGACCCATATTTGGTAGTTGGTCATCTCCCATAAAACTCTTGTATTGGTCWGYATTATATGGTGGAAGCACWGCTGCATTTTCTTTATCYTGGTCATCCATTGCCACACGAACAGCTGAGCTATTGGGGTCAATGGGACTGCCTGCTATCATCTTGATGCTGTCTAAGCTATCTAATATTTAAAAAAAAAAAGAAATTGTGAGTTAACTATCAAACCTGAATCAAATCACAAAATTACTCATACAGCTACTTTATAGGTAGGCGCCAATGTTTACATTTTAGCTACGGTAATTTGCATAAAAGTCAGAAATCGAATTTCAAGACACAAGAAAATCAAGCATTGCTAAATCTGAATTTAGACTCACATGTACCTTCACTCAAGCTTCCATCATTAGTGATAAAATCTCTCCTTTCATCTTCCGTATGTCTAATCGAAAACTTAGTAATGCCAGGAACATCAACCTTGGCTGCCTGATCAGCAWARCCCCTAACCTCCTCCCCTCCAGCCTCCTCTTGCCTTATTGTCTTAGAGCGCCGAGGTGAGTGACAGACYACTTTGACAGGTGATGTTGTTGTGTTGGCGACAACAGGAACTTCTGTTTTAATTGGTGGAACTTTGACTGGCTCTGAACTGTCATCATTTTCTGATAATGATAGTGACGAGGATGGCTCAACRGCCGGTGGAGATGTTAACTGTCTATTTTGGCCAGGCTCTTTYTATTGAGCTGGAGCTAATCTGTTCAATTTGATTGGTRTACTATTAAGTAATTATCATAGTATATTTATAAAATCAAAGATAATGTACACATACAATCTGGGTTCTTGTTCTGTAGAAAGTTTTTGTGAGCTTATTTGGAGTCTTTGGTCCTCAAGCGTTGGTGTGGTCACTATAGCAACAAAAGTTAAAAAATTACAGTTAGCTCGCTCTTCTTTAATTTCTAATTTTATTTTCCTTTTCTACCTGGTTAATACCCCCCCCCCCCCCCCCCCCTCCCTCCCCCTTAATACAATCATCCCCTCATTAATACAACCACCCCCCGTCAATATGGCAAGTTTTCTGTCTGTCTTCAGTGGCCGGATTACCCAGGTTTTACTGTATTTTAAACATTATCACTAGCATATCCACCTGCAGGCTTGTGTTCTGCAGGATCATATCCTTTTGACGGGATAAATTCTCTCTCTGAGTAAGGACTGGAATGAGAAACGAGAACTGTCAGTATTTCARGGCGTTTTACGGCGTAATACAGTCTCATAAATACATGCAGTTATGGTCCTCATCTCAATATCATCAAAAACAGTGCAAAACTCACCGATTATAATTACTATTTTTAGGTCTTATTTAAAAAGCAAAGTGTAAGTTCAAAAGCGCGCGAAAAATTGCAAAATTCAAAACCAACCTTCCTTGAAGASGACTCGTTTCRAAGCGGCCTTGAGCCAGTGYTTTTCTGTCAAAACAAGGAAAATCAATGAAAACTAAATGTTATACTGTAATTTCGTGCTCCTAAATTTTTAATATTCTACCTAAACTGTGGAGAAGGCGTCTGTGTTGGAGCAAGATGATACAGCGAACGCTTGTCGGCCGCCATCTTGTTAAAATATGTCACCAGTCCACCTGACACAGGAAGCCCAAATGTAAATGCAAGGGATGCAAGTTTGTTCAAATTTTATTGTTTCAACCCTATTTCGACCATTCGGAACAATATTATTTGAATGCATATATTCCACCAATCAAAAGACAAATTTCATACCGAATATTGTTCGTGGTCCCAATATGAGGGGTTCATGTCGACATTTCATTAAATCCATATTTCCATATTTGATTTTTTTCATTTAGTAAAGTTCGTTACAATGATATTATGGGAGGCGAAAAATGGGTTGTGTTCGCGTACGAGAGCGTGCGCAGGCCCGATATCTTTCAAAATCATCCTCAAAGTATGTCAGAATACCGACTTTTTTGAAGCCTTCATTCAATTTCAATTTTGTTAACGATACACAAACATAAATACATTTGCACTTTTTCAAAATAAAGATTTCTGACACATCTAAAGATGGAATCTGAACCAATACGCAAGTGAAATGATTGCATGTCTTTTCCCTTTATAAGCTTCACGCTGTTTCAAAATAAAAACCATGATACAGCTAAACTGTCTAAAATAATACAAGTGAAATACGGTTTTGTAAAGTTATCGTTGTCATCTTATTTTGCACTGAAAATATATAGGTGTAAGTTATCTAGCAGTAGATGAAATAAACTAAATGAAAATGAAATTTTTGAGAAYAAAAATAAAAACGCTGATTCCCATGATTTCATTTTTCGACTTATACATAAAAAAGATTTTGTTACTGCAAGCACTTTTGGATTAATCCTCTTTATGTTACTTCAATATTTATTGGAGTTGTCGATGATCGCAACTCTACCGAATCATTCTGAGAAATGCCTAACAGTGGCACGATAGAAAACCACGCGGAAGAACTTTGAGCTCTAAGGGACGGCTGAAGCCCGTTTTTCAATCGTCATAAAAGTTTCCTCAATTTCACATTTCATATTTTTGGATCGTTTGCTTCCTTCCAGTGTAAAGAAAAAAAACATTGTATAAAACTTGAATTTTATTCTCAATTTCGCGCTTCTTCGGCATGCAGGAAATGAAACGATCGAATGAAGATAAGGTGTTCTCTTCTGCGTGTGCTTGTGATAATATAACGAGCAGGAATTAACCTTGTGAATTTACAGTCCACTCAAGTCCACTTCCAAGACAAATGTTTATAAATCTGTTTGGTTGCAACTTTCAATGATTGTCTTGGAAAATGAAACTTTAACCGAAAATCCCGGCGTCAGTTGATGTCAGATATTTCCTTGATTGTTATTTTTACTTCAGCAGCCTCTCCCTTTTTCCTGTCAACCTAAAGTTCCATAAAGCACTCCTGGTGCGCTAGGGACACTCATTCAACCCATAGGAATTCCTAAAGTCAGGAGCTCTTAAGGTAAGACATGGCTTCATATATTATTGATTTATTATTATTATCATTATTATCATCAAGATCTCTTTTGGGCAAGGATTAATGAAGTATCTTAATTTGTATTGCTTTCAATAGATGAAGGGTTACATTATTTCATATCTTGCACTGTTGGTGATATGTGGAACTGCTACAACTGATGGTCGAACCCACCCCACTAAGGACGTCTCAGGAGAAAAAGAGCCAGCCGAAGTTGATGAAGGTAGCTACATAAACTAATTGTTTTAAAAAATGACCTTTCTTGCGCGTCAGTTTTGCTTTTGATCTAACAATTTCGGTGCGCGTGCTTTACAGATTATGAAACGTACCCACGGAAAGAAGTCATTGAAGAAAAAAAGCCAGAAGGTACCTACCTACACTAACAATTTTATTTGAAAATGGCAACGGACTTTTTTAAGTAAATATGTTTGCTATTACAGCTGACCTTCCTTACCCACTGAACGGCATCTCTGAAGGAAAAGAGCCAGAAGGTATCCAGAAGAACAATATTATTTAAAAAATAACCAAGGACTTTTTTTAAGGCAATGTTTTCGCTATTACAGCTGACCTACCTTACCCACTAAACGACATCTCTGAAGAAAAAGAGCCAGAAACTTACCCCGTGAAGCAGGTTCCTGAAAAAGCGGATCCAGTCGAAGTTAAAAGTATGTACATGTAAAATAACGCACCAGTTTACGTATCAAATACCATCCGCTTTGAATCATACTTTATACCAACAAGAAATTGATTTTACTTTCAGAGAATATAAAAAACGTTAAAAAGGTCGCGGTAGCCACTCTTATATCAGGTGCTACACTTGGCTTCAATGTCCTTAAGTATGCCCTGAATGCAATAGGAAATGTTAAACGCAAAATCGCTATCGGTGTTGACAACGAGTCGGGATGTACCTGGACTGCATTAGGTACCCACTTTTACTCTGGTACTTCGGATAAAGTGCTCCCCCATGAAGTTCAGAATACCAAAGCACTGATATACAACGCTCGAAAACACCAAACCTTCCATGGGGCTGTTGGAGTGTTCACRTATCGCTTGTGCAATTCCTGGAAAACTCTGGCGATTCTTTTCAGTGTTCCCTACAACCGATGGTGGTATAAAAACTGGTGGAATGTCAAAATATATCATGGAGTAAGGCGTCCTAGTCATTCCATATACAAAGATCTTTACTACCGCGCCAGGCCGTTCCGTGGTAATAATCACTGGTATCATAGAAATCTGGGACATGGTCTTAAAATGAAAGGATTTATGACGAATTCTGGGCYGGCAATCCTGGAAATACACATATCAAAGGCCTAGCTAATTTAGACCCATGAACTTCCTTAAAAGAGCACCGCCATAACTCCACATATCTAATCTTACCTAATATATTTTTACCTCAAAGTTATTTTGCGGCTGTTTTTAGTCGTGCAAGCTGCGGGAGAGACTACACAAAGTCTATTCATTTGAAAWACTTGCAAAGCTCACCAACTTTAAGGGAGTACACCCCCACTCCCCCCTCCCTTCCCCCCCAGGGACCAACCATCTCATGACGGAGCTCTTTTGAGGTTTAATTGGATCGACACAGATCAAGTAAGACCATTTATAACTACATTAATGATTGTTAATAATTCAACTGCTTTGTAATCAATGTTGAGTTCTACAAAGTTTGTATTGGGATTTCTTTTTTTAAATAAAAACAACAATATAATCACAATTTGTAATACTCTAGACTAATTAAATAGATATTAAAATGCCTAAGGTCATTAAAATATAATTTTAAAGAATGTCTTTACAGTATTTAGAGTGTCTATTTACAAAGGTGCCCTATGACGGTATATTTTGCTTTTTCAAGGCAGTTGTTGTATATTAGCAGCCACACGCTCAACSMTAGAGCTGTCTTGTCCAATCTTTGCCGCTTAAGTTAATTGAAAATTACAGTTGAAAAAGAGTTACGATATTATGAGATGGTATCCTTGTAAAAAAAAGGAGCCAATCAGGAAACCCCTTGCCATACCCATTGGTTATAAAAATAGARTGGATTTATGTGTCACATGGAACGATATTGAGATCTTTTGAACTTAACTACATATCGATACATATACAAGTCGTATACCACCAAGAACTGAGCACTTTATGGCTTTTCGGTTCATCCACAGCATAATGCGTAATCTTTTATTATTATMGAGAACTTTTATGTGCACATTCTTGCACTTTTATTTTTACACTTTGTTCACGGGTTTACGGAAATATTAATAAGTTCTGGTTTCTTTATTGAAAGTAACAGTGGCGGATCCAGCATCAGTTCACTAATTTGCATCTTAAAACAAAATGGTTCATTTTCACGGATTTGTTTTGATGCAAATTGGTGAACTAGTGCTGAATCCGCCAGTGAGTAATGCAGTTACAGTCACTTAGAGAAAGAGGGACTCCTTATCTGCTTATAGTGTATGGACTATCCTTGTCTTATTTCAACGGTATAGACTACACCTAATTGAAGAAACTTTGTCGGGCCCAAAATGGTTAAATCATAGAAGCTAAGACCGAAAGGGTACTTGGGAAGACAAACAATTTGGCTAATTTCATACAAACGGCTCTCCAGCATAAAAGACTAGCATGCTGTTAATCTTACTAGCTCTACCTGCTTTACGGTACACTGTACATACAAATGTAATCCTAATTTAGTTTTACTCAAAATCCCTTTCGGTCTTAGCTTCAATGATGTGACCTTTTCGAACACGACTATGTTTTTTCAATTAGGTGTATTTGAGTGCAAATAATAAAGTTGAGCTCCGAAGAAGTTGGACGAGGAAGTTGAACTCGGAGAAGACGMGTGCAGAAAAGCACTCGTACTTTCACAGCTCACATATTTCTCAGCTAATTATACTTAGGCAAGACTTAGCACATAGATCCACATAGTTAGTAATTAGTTAGTTAGCTATCCATTTCACGACGAGTATGTTATTTGCACTCTATTGTAAATAGTTCTATAAGTTAGTATTTCTTATACAAAGAAACTCAATGAACTATATCGCGTGTTATGATCACATTTTTGTTTCATTTTATTTGCCTTTTATAAAAATCGCGCGCTTTAAAGGTTGTAAATTTGATGCAAATATGATGTAAGTGTCCAAAATTCTGTAAATTTGATGTAAATGATTTCCATTAAATTTACAGAATTTTGGACACTTACATCATATTTACATCAAATTTACAACCTTTAAAGCGCGCGATTTTTTCCAGTGAGGGCGAGTGGACTACGAGTTAATAGTCCARGAGGCCGAGAGATCTAATTGTTTTAGTATTACCATACTAGTTGGACAAAAAAATAATGAAATATATGAATAACTAAATGTTTTTATTGCTAAAAATAAGCAAAAAGTTGTGCTTTTAGTCGAGGACTATTGAAAATAGACTCCGAGTAGCGTAACCAATCAGAACGAAGGATTTACAATATTCCACTACTATGGTAATACTAAAAATATTTAGACAGTCTGAATGTATCTGACAATTATTTTCGTAATTAATGATGCCGGTCAATATCGGGAGTGGTGTAGCGGAAGCGAAATAATGCGGGAAACGAGTCCAAAATCTGAAGAAAGGAATAGATCTATATTGGAATTAATAATAAATAACACCTAAATAATAAAGAATGATATATGTGTTTTATTATCATCTTGTACTCAATGAATAACAGGAAAAAATTCCAAAGTGAAAATCAATATTCACTGAGTAGAATATCAAAGAAAGTTTAATTCAAAGTGCAATTTCCGATTCTTTTTTTGTCCCTAGGGTATAACGGAAACACTGGAACGCGGACAAACCTATACTGTGACCATTGCCCATTCCGAAATTCAAAAAGGGACTGGTGACTAGTCACAAACTCGATACAGTTTTAAGCAATCAAAACAAAACAAAAAACATATATCATAGCACACTAAAATTAGTATAATTTGCTGAGTTTGAGTGTATTCGGATTAATAATTACAGAGTTACAAGCGTTTAAAACTCGAAAAAATTACAAAGAATGTATGGAGCTCTTGAGCAGCGTCCTCAAAAACCATACATTCTCTCGGTGAGTATACTCCAGTTTCGAATTCAAAGCGAATAACCGCTGCATGTTTTATTTGACAGCAGATTCTCTTACGCAAAGACCTTAGAAACACAAAAGAGATCACAACAGCACGTCCTTGCCATATCCGCTGTTGACAAAAATTGACTAGTTTCCACTGGACTGTGAAGTATAAATAGTATTAGACTTTAAGAAAATCAAAAAGGCTTCTTCTCTAGTTTCTGAAATGTCGAAATCTTTAGAAACTATGAAACAATTAGAGTTTTTTTACACTCGGCTCAAATACCATTTTGATAAAGACACTATACAATCAAGTGTTTCACATAAGTACCGCATTGTAAACTTCGAGCAATTAACTGATATTCTAGTACTTTTCCGGACACACTTTTTCGGTCTTTCTCAACTCCGCCAATCTATTAACTCCATTTCCTGTTTTGACGCTCGATAATAGCCTGTCTCCATCCCATCTAAAAATAATTTCGATATGAGTCAAGAGAAATTCTGTGTTCGACGAAGGCCGAGAAAAAAGTGTACAAGTAATGTCCCATTTCAGACTTGTGAAGATGCTATAMTAGCTCGAATATACATGATATACCATCCACCCAAGACTTTAAGTGATTTTTCTGATGAAACACAGGAGCTACGCAAATGCCTCGGTTCGCCACTTTTCCTGGTTTTACTCAACAATCTCTACTAGGGAACGGAAATTAAGAGCCGCGTGTGCCGTAATTAAAGCCGAGGGGTGCCGAGTCCATGATACTTACCTTAGGAAAGCAGGGGTGTGCAAGAATTTGGAAAAAGTCAAAATTACAGAGGGGAAGTGTTTTCTGTGCGACTATTGAACATTTAGAGGCCAAAATAAACTTTATTTATATTTTTACGGGTCTAGTCTCGGCTGAGCTTCGAACATGCTTGAAATTTAGCTGCAACTCGCGACAATGCGCGAAAACAAAGTGGCGATTATCGCGCGATAATCGCTCTGCAAAAATCGCATGCGTATTCTCATACTGACTCAAAAACATAACGTTCATTTGTCCAGTACTATATATCAGCATTGCTCGTAGGGACGCATATACTGTAGGTTAGAAAGACATAAAAAACCCTTTCCTTCACTTTTTTTTGCGTACTAAGTAATTGGAGTCAGAAATGCAGGCCATCCCCTCCTTCAACCACTCACAAAGTGACTCTCCCTCCCCCTGGCATCATTTTTTCCTGTTTTCAACTGAACGACTATAAATAACACCTGTTGAGCTACCCAACTTTATTCCATCCATAGGAATTCCTAAAGTCAGTCTAAACGGCTCTCCAAAACCAAAAGAGGTAAGGGACGATCGATGTATAGGAGAGATAAATGGTATGGAAACTGTATCCGTTATAAATCTGTTATATATATAACTATTATGTTAACATATTAACTTCATCTAATATATGAAACTACGTATAAATACGTAAAAAAATTCATGAATCATCGCTCATATTTATTTTTCAATGAGAGAAATTATCTTTTTTCAACAGCGCAGCAGTATGAGTCATTACAAAACCTTTGGCCTTGCAATGTTGCTTATCTTTGCAACTGTTGCAGCTTACGCAGAAGTCCCAGATGAGGCAAAGGAAATTGAAGGTACTATTTTATTAGAAAAATTAACTGACTWTCTTTATCATACAACGCACATCTTCGATTGAGTGCTTATATAAATCTTGGTTGGTTGCATGAATTGTTTGAATGAAATCAATGTTTTTTTGCGCTTACAGCTGACCAACCTTTCCCAAAGGATYWCACTGAACAGGCAAAGGAAATTCAAGGTACTGTTTGATTCGAAAAAAAATGCTGCCTTTCTTTCTTACCCACTCTTTCTTTGAGTGCTCCAAGGAATTCAATGTATTTTGATCTTGGTTGTGTGTTACAAGACAAAATTAGTAAATTAATATTCATGAACGTTTTCTAGTAAGTTACTCCCTAGGTTAGCATAACATTCCACCTGTTCTTGTATTAATAGAACTTATACTTATTTTGACATTCTCGATTAGGTATAAAATATGACATCTGTTTCGTATATATCATGTTTCGGTTAGCTGTTTATGTCTCATAGAATTCCAATACATGTATCTCGAATATAAGTTATTATTTTCATAGGTTTTCTACACTGTCTTGCTTAGCGTTGTGTACCCTAACTAAGCTAAAGTCTAGCTGCAATTTTAAAATATTTAAGCTAAAGTCTAGTTACAGCTTGTGACTCTTTAGTTGTCACTTCCTTTTAATTTCTCTATTTAATTTCGAATATTCCATTGACTGAGCTGTCACAGATAAAAAACTATAAGTTTGCAAATCTAATGAGACTACAAGGCACCTTATTTCACCCACATTTTCACCTAGGATATCCCCACGCGTCTTATAGCACTGTAATGATACATTAATTCCAGATAGACTCCTCCCTTGTAACCCTACACCTCAATGCGTACCCTAAAACGCCCTTCGTTGGTTGGAGCCTTGTAGCATCGTTCATTTTGTATATCTTTATAATATAACTTGATAGAAAGTTATTTCTCTGTTAGACTCTATCTTCTGCCTTAATTTCATCTTTAAATTTACTGAACTTAAAACTATATCGGGCATAGCCTTTTCTCTCTCAGCCTTGGCTGAACATCTTATATTAGTAAATCAAACTTTAGTACGTCAAGCTTATACTCTATCCAATCGTATTGCAATGTAGCCTGCCAATTTGCTGTCACCCTGACTTGTAAAACATTCACTATAAAGGTAGATTGATATCTTGTACAGGTAAGTTGGTTCTTTAGTTGGCTAGTTCGCTCGATATAGTTGGTAGCTAAACTCAGGGTATACAACATCTTTTCCAAGTTTAGTATTAAATATCTTTTGATCCAGTACCGGCTCTTCCTGAGTAAATCCCACAGTTACAAGACAAGAAACCCTGTAACATGTGTAACTCATGAATGATATCGATCATTGCTCTTTTACTGTTCTAGCTGACCAACCTTACCCGAAGCGGGACGACCAACTTTACCCAAAGGATGATGCTGAAGAGATTAGAGAAATCGAAGGTACTATTTGACTATAATATTAACTAACTGTCTCTCCTTCTGTCGTACTCTTTCTTTGAGTGCTCTATGTATATTTAGATTGATTTTGTAAATTTCCTTTGCTGTTACAGCTTACCCACAAAACACAAAGAAGGATGTTGAAGAGGAACAGGACGACGAAGGTACCGATACATATCATTAGTGAATAACAACCGAGGTCTGATTTAATTGATTGTTGTGTAACTGAAAGATAAATTTAACAACGGAGTAAAGATGGTGAAATTAGGATATGTGTGTTTTTTTGTTGAGTGCTCCACAGATCTTGATAGGCTCTATAAATCATTGCGTATTAAGTAAATGATTGATTTGGGCGCTCCATAGATCTTGATCTACCAGGCTTTGTTAATCATTGCACAAGTAAAAGTTCCTTGTTTTGTTTGGTTTTATTATTTAGTTGTTGCGATTATTTAAGAATAGCTATAAATTCCACGAGTTTATTAGTAATTTCCCTTTATTTTCGGTYCTGTTACACCAACAGAACCTTATACTGAGCTAAACAGACCTAGAAACTAGAGATATAATACTTTGTGCCAAATGCGGATTTTTTTATTCATTTTGCAGAGAATGGGAAAAAAGTAAAAAGGGTCCTTCCAAGCACTATCATCGCAGGTGCTCGTCTTGGCTTCAGTGTCCTCAAGTCCTTTCTGAAAGCTTTAGGAAACGTTAATCGCAAGATTGTGATTGGTGTTGACAACGAGTCCGGACGCACCTGGGGATCGTTAGGTGTATACTTCTACTCTGGTACTTCGGATATGGTGCCACCCTATAGAGTTAAGAATACCAAAGCACTTCTGTACGGCGCAAGAAAGACAAGAGGTCCTGTTGCTACAGGAGCTGTTGGAGTAATCTCTTACTGTTTTTGGGTCAAGCGTTCTTGGGTGACTCTGGCTGTCCTTTACAGTGTTCCCTTCAACTACCACTGGTACTCTAACTGGTGGAACATCAAGATATACCGTGGAGTAAGACGTCCCAGCAGAAGAATGTACCGTCAGCTCTACTATGGTAGGGGCCACGACTATCCATTCCGTGGTAATAGCCACTGGCGTCACAAAAATCTGGGATATGGCCTTAAAATGAGAGGAGTTATGACCAGTTCTGGGCAGGCAAGGTTGGAAATACACGTATCGAAGGCCTAGCTCATTTCTACCCATAAACTTCCTTAAAAGAGCATCCGCATATCTAGTCTTACCTATTTTTTCCCTTATTAAGTCTGATTATTTCAAAAGGTTTGATTTTTTCCCCATGCAAATATAAAGGTTAAGTTTATTTAACAATCCATAATTTCTTTTACTAAATCATTCATGAGCTCTTTTGAGGTTTGGACCGGCACGGATCAAGACACACGATGATTGTCTTAGATAAATAAATAACTTTCTAGATAAATAACTTTCTAATGAATAATAACTTTTTAATAATAATAAATAACTTTCTAGATAAAACCGCACGAACCCTGATGGTTCCTTGTAAAACCAGGAAGAAGGCAAGCCGAATATAGACAGTGATGAAGTCAATTTTGATTTATAGATTGGAAGTATTTCGATGTCATTCAGAGCTGTGAAAATGATTTTTATTTTAATCAGTGGAAATGAAGGCACTGACTACCCTTGATGGGTGAATAACCTTACATGAGAATCGAAAAAAATACCCTTTCAGTGCGATTGTGAATTATTGTCGGACTCCAAACTATTTTCAAACTAAAATCAATCTTAATTTCTTCATTGTTTGTATTGTGACTTTTCTTTTTCTACTTTTTAAAGAAAAGCAAAAATAATTACACATGTAATACTCTAGGGTGAATAACTGGATAATAAAAAACGCACTGCAAAAAAAAAAACGACTTGTTTTTCACGGATAGGACTGAGTTCGTGGTTGTAGAATTGAAGACTTGAAAGGAAAGGAAAACCTAATCTAAACCCCTTCGCTATTATAATATATAGCCACATTGTAAAAAGCTTCATTTGAAAACTTTAACTTTAGAGTGATTTTCATAGGACTGTGAAATAGTTCCTACGCTAATAGACTCTACACGCTTTCTTTTATTGTAATACAACTATGGAGACACTGACTAGTAGTAATTGTTTCACAGACGGAAAAAAACACTCTAAGATGTAAGTTGAGTCAATTGGAATTAAGAATATCAAACATATTTACAGTATTTAGAGTGTCTATTTACAAAGGTGCCTGATTGTATATTTTGCTTTGGGAAACTTTTTCAATCAGTTATTGTATATTAGCAGCCACAAGCTCAACAGTAGAGCTGTCTTGTTCAATCTTTGCCGCTTAAGTTAATTGAAAATTACAGTTGAAAAAGAGTTACGATATTATAACATGTTATCCTTGTAAAAAAGTAGCCAATCAGGACACCCCTTTGCCATACTCATTGGTTATAAAAATAGATTGGATTTATGTGTCACATGCAGGGACCGCGGAGCAGGGGAGGCTGGGGGGCTATAGACCCCCAATAATCTTTCCGCCATTTTGAATTTTCTTAAATAAAGAAGCGCAGAGCTCCTTGTGAAATTTCACTTTTCATTGTATTTAAGATTGTGTAAAAACCAAGCATGAAAAATTATTGAACCTTTTTTCGAAGTCTTTGGGACTTTTTCGAATATCGTGTGACCGTGTGTGCGGTTTTAGCGGTCAGAAATATGTCTGGGATAATGCTTCAGAACGCTGGAAATGACATTTCCGAGAGTTTTAAAAGATTTCAAAATTTTCCGGTGTGTACTCCCCCGGATTCCACCTAGTACCTCCTGCCTTTGCAGCTGATAGCCCCCCAAACAAATTACCGCTCCGCGGTCCCTGACATGGAACGATATTGAGATCTTTTGAATTTAACTACATATCGATACATATACAAGTCGTATACCACCACGAACTTAGCACTTTATGGCTTTTCGGAACATCCACAGCATAATGCGTAATCTTTTATTATTATTGAGAACTTTTACGTGCACATTCTTGCACAAGAGCAAGGATGGCCGAGCGGTTAAAACGCCGGTCTATCACCGCTGTGGTCCTGGTTCGATTCCCGGTCCGGGACTACATGTGATTTGAGTTTGTAGGCTGGTTCTCTCCCTTGCTCCGAGGGTTTTTCTCCAGGTCCGCTGGTTTTCCTCCCCCAGTCAAAAACTAGCTGTGAGGAGTGTCGTGTAGTAAAATAATGAATGGTGAGGTAGTGAGTATGAGTGAATATATAGAGGGCCACAAGTTTATTAGTCTAGAGACTCATTACGTGCTACCCTCTCAAAATAAAATAAAGACTTTGCACTTTTATTTTTACACTTTGTTCACGGGTTTACGGAAATATCAATAAGTTCTGGTTTCTTTATGGAAAGTAACAGTGGCGGATCCAGCATCAGTTCACTAATTTGCATCTTAAAACAAAATGGTTCGCTAGTCGAGGACTATTGAAAATAGACTCCGAGTAGCGTAGCCAATCAGAACGAAGGATTTACAATATTCCACTAGACTGGTATGGTAATACTAAAAATATTTAGACAGTCTGAATGTATCTGACAATTATTTTCGTAATTAACATGCCGGTCGGGAGGTGGTGTAGCGGAAGCGAAATAATGCGGGAAACGAGTCCAAAATTTGAAGAAATGGATAGATCTACATTSGAATTAATGGATAAAAGCCTTGGAATAATAAATAACACCTAAATAATAAAGAATGATATATGTGTTTTATTATTATCTTGTACTCAATGAATAACAGGAAAAAATTGAGCGATGTTCAGTTTGCGTCGATCAAGCGGCCCAAGCGGCCATTGCCCGAGGAATTAATTCTACTGTGTTGTTCAGTGTTTCAGTATTAGAATAGTCCCACAGTACCCACAAAACATTTGATTACTCCTTTTGTTTAACTTAATGATCTACATACGTATCTATTACATTGCTTAATAGGTTTCTGACACTCTTGATTATCCTACGAAGTGGTCTTTTCTTTTACCGAAGCGTGTTTTTCCTGTTTACATATTGTCTACACAGGAGGAGCCGGCAGGATCTGTTCTTCTAAATAGCTGTTCTTGTGTGAATTTTTTCCTGGGAAAGAGATTTTGAGCTACATTGCTTACAATCTCACGAGTGGCGCCCTTCCTTCTTTAAAACAATTTTGWTCCAGGCAAACGTTTTTATGGTCATTCAAAAAAGCTTACATTTTTTTTTAGTTAGGAAATTTTTATTCTCCTGGCAAAAATTCTTAGWAAGTATTCCTTGTCTGGAGAGTTCTTTTTTCCTTAATTTGTCGCTGGCAACCAGTAGTGACTTAGAGCTGGCTGGGACAAAAGAACAGATGTATTTCTTCCAGGAACCCGTCGCCTCCTCCTGTCTACAAGATGCCTACAATTGTAGCTACAACGGGGGGTAGGGGAGGAATACTTAGTAAGATTGGTTGGTAATATTCTGTCTGGGTATGATGGTCGTCTCTTTTAAGCTAATATAAAAAATATATTAAAGAAAAAAAAATATAAAAAAATATAAAAAAAAATTAAAAGAAATCAGAAATTAGTACTCGTCAACCAGTTGTATTTCACATAGTTTACATTGTAGTTACAATATATTTCGACAATTATACACAAGTGTTTTTTCCTTTGGGTGACACGTAATTTTCCTGTTTTGACGTTCGCTAATTCCTATATATCAAGCCCACAATTAGACTCTCTTTATTCCATCCATCGAAACACTCGAAGTCTAAAACTCAGCTCTGCAAACTAAGGTAAGTTGTGATGCTATTACAGTTCGAGTAGAGTAGGCAGTACTGAAGAATGAGAATACATCAGATAAAGACCACATTGAAAAACGAGGAGACTGGGAATGAGCACTTGAAAGATCAAAATGTTGAAAAAAAAACTGATTTTATCATAAGAACGGGTATCTTGATGTTATCTAGTTTTGTGTGTTGATAAATGTTAAATTATTGCAGTGTCACCAGCATTATTGTGTCTTACGTAAATCACGAGACTTCGTTAGGCCTTAGTTTTGATTCTCACTCAAACTTTGTAAAGTTCAAACACCTGTTCTTTGTAAATGCCCTGAAATTTTCAGATATATTACACAGCTTATAAAGCTAGCTGTTAGACGCAAGTGTTTTTCATGTGGTCTTTACGTCGCGATTCAGAGTGCGCAAATAGAAGAATGCGATGTCATAAGTTATTATGAAAAGCGCACTATTAGCGCAATACAGTACAAAAATCCGCTCGAAGAAACTACTTCCGCGTTTTGCAAAACAGTTCTTGTATATCATGAGGTTACTATTGACAGTTTAAGCTAAATAGGTCCTTAATAAGATCTTAATTTCTACAGTGTAGATATTGTTTTTTAAGCGTACCCATTAATAAAGTTTCATTTAACAATTCAATCATTCTAAACTCCCTGTCGACTTTTTTGGGGTTTAATACTCGCGACAGATTTCTAGCGGTCTCACATAGACAAGAGGAAAAAAATTGATCTTTTAATTTCTCTTCATAGAAAATGAGCAGGCTAAAATTGCATACAATGTTCACGGGCTACGATCGCGAGGTAGCCATGGGGGTTATTAACGAGTCCGGATACCCCTGGAAGGTTTTGAGCGTCTACAATTACGAGGGTGCACGGGACAACTACAAAAGGCTTCCTTCCCAGGTGAACAACAACAAAACCCTGCTTTATAGAGCAAGTAAACCGCATGAACCGGCAGACATCGACATGGGCGCTTGCGGAGTAATTGCAATCTATATACAAGGTCTCGATAAGACCCTGGCAGTTGCCTACAGTGCAGCTTATTATGATCGAAATCTACATGGTGGAAAATCAAGATCTACCCAAAGTAATTGCAGCCCGCCAATGCTATCTGAAACGCCCAACTGGTGGAACATCAAGATTTACCCAGGAAAATGGCTGCCAGACTATTCTACGTACAAAGAATTGTACTTTTTGGAGCGCCCATTTGAAGGAGATTCCAAATGGCATAATCGGTCATTGGACTCTGGCCTGAAAATCAAAGGTGCGATGTCCAATGACGGCCAAGCAACCCTGGAAATGCATGTCAGTAGAGTCCAATAGATTAACAGGAGACTCGTTCCCAGTCGCTTCTCTCGAGCGGCGCGCGATGTATGAACGGAAGGCGAAGGAAAGGCGTTTTCTCTCCTTCTCATCAACCCCTTCGAGCGCATCAAAAAATAAAGCGTAACGACTGGGTACGAGCCTGAGATTAACAGCACTCATCTAAAAGAATAAGCACTTTTTGTTTCGTAAACTATTACAAAATAGTTTGTAAATGCTTTAAATTCTTTTAAGGTCATTAAAATATAATTTTAAAGAATATATTTACAGTATTTAGAGTGTCTATTTACAAAGGTGCCTGATTGTACATTTTGCTTTGGGAGACTTTTTCAATCAGTTGTTGTATATTAGCAGCCACAAGCTCAACGGTAGAATTGTCTTGTTCTATCTTGCCCGTTAACTCTCCCAGTTCGGCTTCCAGCTGAAGTACAAAACAATTCATTCTGAGAACTACTTTCACGGCTTTACAGCACGGTTTCATAAACACTGAAATAAGACTAAGCTTTATTCCTTTTTATTATATGGTTATATTGTTTTAACGGAAACTTAAACACTCGTATTTTCCATATATTCACTATTGAAGATATGAAAAAGCTATGCACCAAAATGTCCCGGATGTACGCGCGCGTCAAATAAAAACAACTTTCCCGCCCATTTCTACTGGTTTGTCCATATAATAAGAAGAACATTACGCGAAGATATTAATTTTATTTTCGAATGGTGAAAACAATATTTTGTTAATAGTTCACATACCTCTGCTAATTGTTCTTTATAATCTTGACTTATGTTACCATTTTCAATTGTTTGCACAAGAGCGTCACGACTGTGCTTAACTGCCCTAAAACAATGTGAATAAAACACAGTGAATTTTGATATCATTCAATTGCATGGAAAAAGTAAGAATGAAAGGAATAGATGAGAGAGGCAGAGATGGGAAAGGAGAGTGGAAAGTGAATGTGAAGAAATTAGAAGGAATGAAACATTGAGAACGTGAAAGCAAAAAGAAAGGAAGAGAGGGAGAGGAAAGAAGAAAGAGAAACGATGGGAAACTGATAATTACGAAGAAAACGACTGACCTGTAGCGAAGCTTAAGGTTGTAATACTCTTGTAGTTTTTTCCTTGCTTCAAATATTTCAGTCTTGATATCTTTGTCATCATCACGTCCTCTACTTGCTTCATGGTCGTTATCTAAACATAAAACATTAACGTGAATAACAATCCACTGAAGAAAAGTGCTCTTATTTGGAGCCGCCCATAAAGAGCCGCCTATGAATACATAAAACTGACATATAATACCTTGTATTATCTGTTTCTCCTTGTGTTTACTGCCTTTGAAAGGCACTTGAAAAGAAGAAGGTGGCAAAAGCTTTACGTTAGTAACTCTCTGTTCGGACTGGACCAATGCTCCGCCACCCCACTCCCCGTCAGTCGAAAGCGTCATTGAGTCGTCTGTGAATGACCTTTGCCTTGGGTGAGGGAGAACCTGACTACAGGGTTGAGGAGGAACGGGGCGAGGACAAGGTGTCTCATCTGTTTGCTTCATGACGCTAAACGTTCGTGAAGACATCGGKGCTTTGTCGTCATTTATCGGAGCTTTGTCGTCATTCATCGGAGACTGTCTATCGATATTCGGAACTTTATCGTCAATACTAACGATAGGCAATACACCGCAATTCATCGGTGATATCTCAATGCCAATCGATGATATATCGTAGGACTCTCGCAGATAGTCAGGGACACGTGGCCTCGGACGCGGTTTGAAAAGATCCGGCGGGATTCTAACAGTAAAAATTTTAAATGAATATACTGTAGTCAACTCTTGTTATAACCACACCTTCACGACTACAATTTCGTGAGTATAAAAGGGAGATTTTTTAAGTTTCTTCTTTTAAGTGATGGAGTTTACTCAAGTGCGTGAAAAACGCCATTACGGTAAATTTTTAACTTACACTAATTAAGTTGTAACTTACAGTCACTAATGAAACTTAACCCAGCTAACTTACTGTATTGTTGTGGCTTTCTTTGCTGTTGGTCTTTGATACGAGGTGCTTTGTATCGAATGATCCTCATGCGCGGGTTTCAGCCGTTGTGGTATTTTGTTTGCAAGTCTTTTTGCTGTCCATCTTCTCCAGTGCAAAGCGCACTTGTATACTACCTGATGGATGTTGTGAGCTTGCTGGACGTGACGGGCTTGTGCGTAACGATTTCTTATTGACGACAAGTGGAATGCCACCTTAATAAATGAAAGTTTAGCAATTACAAAATGATTGACAGACTGATTGATTAAGTGATTGAGTGATTTTTACATGTACTGACTGATTGATAGATTGTCTGACTGACAGATTGGATGATTGACTAATTGATTGACTGATTGATTACCTAAGTATATGATTGATTGATTGATGGATGGATTGATGGATTGATTGATTAAAGGAATGATTGATGGAATGATGGATTAACAGATTGATTGTCTGGATGAAGGATGGAATGATTTATAAACTGATTGATAGATTGACTAATTGATTGACTGATTGATTACCGAAGTGGTTGATTGATTGATTGATCAATAGATTGATTGAGTAATTGATTGATCAACTGATTGATTGACTCCGCTTGTTAGTTGGTTGATTGATGGAGTGATTGAGTGATCGATCGATTGAGTGATTGCCTGATTGGTTGATTAACTGATTGATTGATTCCTTAATCAATTTATTGATTGTTGGTTGGTCCGCTGGTTAGTTGGTTGATTGATGAAGAGATTAAATTACCTCAATCCAGTGAGTTACTCCAGTTCTAATGAGCCTTGCACYTCTTTGATCCAATGCTTGTGCAATACGGATTTCTTTCTGCTTTTTAGAAACCGCATATTGCAGCCATGCCTCAAATGCCTAAAATCAAACAGAGAAGTGAATGATATGTAAACGAAAACAAGTCAAAAACTATATCAAGACAGAAGTGTTGTTAGCAGAGATTTAAGAATAGGAATCTATACCTTTCTTTGTAATGTGACACTCCAGTGCCACAAAGACAGTGATGTTCTTTTTCTTGTTTCAATTGAAATCGAGTACTGTACAAATCAAACATTTAACATATCAATGCTACTGTACAAATCAAACATTTAACATATCAATGCTACTGTACAAATCAAACATTTGACATATCAATGCTACTGTACAAATCAAACATTTAACATATCAATGCTACTGTACAAATCAAACATTTNAGATAACATACCTGACGTTTCCAGGATCTAAAGAAACATTTTGTGATCCTATGGTTGTGCAGCCAATGAGATTGTCTATCCAACAGCTAAATACAAAACAACATCATCAATTCTAGTGGAAACGAAGAGTTTATCGAGCTGAGTGTCTCCTTACTCCTCAAAAATCGAAAAAAGGAAGAGACTTTCAGTATATTAGTCTTCCTTCCTTAATGTCTGAGGAGGTAAAAAAAGCCTTTGTTTGCTGGGTAGCAATAGTGTTTCTTTAGAAACAAATTACATGAATGTTCACACTCACAAAACAAGTTTGGCGCAAATTTTACACTCTGTTACGGTTGTGGTTCTCAAGAACAGAGGGTGTAAAAATCGAAGGGTTCAACAATGTATATGATTACCTTTATTTTAAAATTTTGCTTGACAAACTGTCCCCAAGCTGTCAGTGCTTTTATGAGWAGTTTCTTTCTGTGATGCTGTTCAGAGATTTGATGAAGTGATTTCTTATGCTGGGACGATTTAGTAAGTTTTATCCAAGTACGGAAAGCACGATGCAATTTCGCTGTTGAATTTCAATTGTGAAGGTAAAGCTCAGGTATAATGATGGATGGGTGAATGAATGGAAGGGAAAATAAATAAATGAATGGACAAATGGATGTAAAGAAACATACATGTACAAGAGGACAGATGGATGAATGAATATATGAATGGATGGATGATTGAGAGAATGGACAGTTCGAAATAATAGATGAAAGTGTAAAGGAATTTTAATTTAAAAATGACAGACAGATGAATGACAAAATTAATTTAGAAATGAATGAATGGATAAATGTAGAGAAGGATGGAAGGATAATAGCTTAAACACATTGATGAGTACTGAGATATAATGGACAGATGCAAAATAACAGATGAAAGTGTAAAGGGATTAAATGACAGATGGAATAATGACAGAATTAGTTAAGYAATGAATGAATGGATAAWTGTAYAGAAGGATGGAAAGATAATAGCATAAACAAATTGATTAGTACTGAGATATAAAAACAACTGTGACAAAACTGACAACTGATACATCAAGTAACTGAACAACACACAAACTAAATGAATACCTTGGTCAAGTACTGCTCTTTTTTCCTTACACGTGGCGGCTTGTTCTTGAGTTTTTAGAGAATGTTGACAGGTATACACATGCCATGAAGTGAAAGCCTAAGACCAAGTTTTAAGTATTAATCTTTTTTGCAAAGTAACAAATGAATAGAGGTAGCATTTACCTTCTTGACAATAGTGTTTCGGTAAGCAGTCTTTGCACGATGATTCAAAATACACTTGTTTTTGTGCCAGAAGACAAAATGATGCCAAGATGACATGGCCCACCTGAATYAAACACAAAACAAACTCAACTTYGGGTSCTTCTTGTCAKAGTGTCCAGTCCTGAAAGTAGTCTAATTTTTAACATTCTTAGGCTATATTTTATAGTAAGTAATAAGATTCACTGACAAAACACTAAAAAATTGGGATTTAATTTTCACATAATTGCATCAGTTGGTAAATACCTCATTCTTGCTAGCTCATGGTCCCTAAACCGTTCATTGGCAGTGGACATGGCAGCTTGATTGACATTACGATATGCCTAGAACATTGATTGAGAGTAATTATGATGATGATGATGATGATGATGATGATGACGACAAAAACTTTTAGGAATCAAGTATTATAAATAAAGAAAGAAATCATATCCACTCGGTTGTAAAAAAAAAGTTAACATAAGTAAGGGGACCTTTCCTTATGAAAAAGGATGATGGGGCCAAAAAAAATGAAATCCTGAGACCATTGATGATGAAATTTAATCCATTACAACAAACAAAACCTAAAAAAGAAATTTAACAATTCGCAGGCGGTTTTCCATTGTAAAACCGCCTGCGAATTGTTTTTACCACAAAAAAAGCTGAAAACAAAGTAAAACTTTAAAAACAAAACCGGCTCCGTGCGCGAGCGATTCGTCATTTCATCCGTCTGTCCTAGGATTGACAACGGCCCTCGGCCAATCAGCGCGCGAGAATTCTACAAGTTATGGTAAAAATAATTATTTTATAATGCTGGTTCACATTTAATAATTTAACTACACAAGCAGAGACAGAACACCATTTTCTTCTTCTGCGATAATGTAACCTGAGTGTTATGGCAATAATGAGGTTATNTTGTCACAGTGTCCAGTCCTGAAAGTAGTCTAATTTTTAACATTCTTAGGCTATATTTTATAGTAAGTAATAAGATTCACTGACAAAACACTAAAAAATTGGGATTTAATTTTCACATAATTGCATCAGTTGGTAAATACCTCATTCTTGCTAGCTCATGGTCCCTAAACCGTTCATTGGCAGTGGACATGGCAGCTTGATTGACATTACGATATGCCTAGAACATTGATTGAGAGTAATTATGATGATGATGATGATGATGATGAAAACTTGTAGGAATCAAGTATTATGAATAAAGAAAGAAATCATATCTACTCGGTTGTAAAAAAAAAAGTTAACATAAGAAAGGGGACCTTTCCTTATGAAAAAGGATGATGGGGCCAAAAAAAATGAAATCCTGAGACCATTGATGATGAAATTTAATCCATTACAACAAACAAAACCTAAAAAAGAAATTTAACAATTCGCAGGCGGTTTTCCATTGTAAAACCGCCTGCGAATTGTTTTTACCATAAAAAAGCTGAAAACAAAGTAAAACTTTAAAAACAAAACCGGCTCCGTGCGCGAGCGATACGTCATTTCATCCGTCTGTCCTAGGATTGACAACGGCCCTCGACCAATCAGCACGCGAGAATTCTACAAGTTATGGTAAAAATAATTATTTTATAATGCTGGTTCACATTTAATAATTTAACTACACAAGCAGAGACAGAACACCATTTTCTTCTTCTGCGATAATGTAACCTGAGTGTTATGGCAATAATGAGGTTATCCGAGTCTAATGGTAAAAATGAAGAGGAGCATTAGAACAACCACACACCTTCCAACACTCCAAGCATTTTCTTAGTCTTTTATGTTGATAATGTATGTCTGCAATAGCTTGTTTTCGCCATTTAGCCTCTCTTTGCTCAATATACTAAAACAAAGTGTTATAATATATATCATTTGATTATTTATGATAATATATTAAGCTCTACAATATTATAGTAGCTGTGCTGAAAAAAAATAAAAACATTTTTGTATCTAGTTTTTGCAAACATGGAGAACAACTTGATACAAGCCATTCTTATCGTGTAATGTGTATTAGCATAAATTGATCCTCATTAGCATTTTTTTATCCGGTTATGTGAAATCGTTCTATTACAATGAAAATAATGGATGATAATAACAAATAATCAGCAAAACTTTGTAAAACATGCTTACCTTGCTCCATGCTGACCATATGTTTCTCAGTAAATTCAAGTAATAATGTCTAACTGCAGTCTGGTYGTAGTAGCGGCTAAAAAAAACGTTTTAGCATATATAAATCATGGACAGCAATTATTCACATGAATTTGAGTACTTAAATTTGACAATATCCTACCTGATTGTTATTTCTCTGGCAAAGTTCTTCCATCCWGTGATTGCTTTGATTAACAGAAACTGTTCATAGTGATTTTGGGCTTTAATCTGTGAATAATGACAAGCATATTTTAAGAACTTCATAGAAAATTGATGTGGAGAAAGGCAAATGGGAAATCCAGCCAAACCATTCAACCAACAAATCAATAGTCATTGAACAACTGAAGGTAATCTACCTCAAGGCTATGTTGACGAAGTTCTTGTCTTGTCCTTAGTCTCCAGACTTTCAAAAAGTGAAGTTTGATTGTATCATCATGATGTAGAATAGCCTGAATTAATAAAATACTTGACAATGTAAATTACATATATTATAAATATTTTGGTTTTCAAACAATTCACCAAAAAAGGGAGGAAACTTCAAACAAGAGTGAAATGCAAGAACTGCTCACCATTCTTGTCATCATTTTGACATCAATGGCAAGCTGGCTTTCTCGATACCACTTATAAAATCCTTGTGACAACAAGACGTCCCTGGAAACAAATACATAATGTATTAATAATGATTAATAGATCAATATCATTGTTATGGTAAGAGGTAGCACTGGTTTTGTAAAGTGATAGTCCTCATTTAAGTTTTATTGTAGTCATTCTGATTTGACCAATGTAGCTAACATAGCAGACAATGTAACCTTCATTAAAATATCAATACACACCGTCTAAAATGGTCAGCTTCGTACTGCATCTCTCTTCTCTCTTTCATGATATCCACAAACATCTTTATTCTATTAAAATATCTGTCAACCAAATGAAAATCAGATTTTCTTAGCAGGGAGTAAAACATTTACAGAGAACATATCCTTAAATGTAATTCAATGTTCATTGATATTGTACATGTACAATTCAGTCTGTGTGAACTTTGATAAAATTTCGGTCTGTACACAGGCTAGATCTCGAGATGATCTGCTAATCAAAATTACAATTGTTGTAAGAAGACTTCTTATGTACCTTGGTAAAATGATTTTGCTATAATGAAAGCCAGCAATGCTATATTGCATCTTTCTGTACTTTCTCCATCTTCTATAGTTTTGCCATTTTATGAAAGCTTTCTGCAACAAACTCACCCTACAAGTAAATCATAATAAATATTGGATGGTTAACAGTGATTATTATTATGATAAACTCATGTTAAAAATGTTGAAATGGAGAGTTAAAACAAGTTGTCTTTCTTGCAAGTATGACAAGTTTACTACCTGTACAATGTTCTTGCTTTTCTCGTCAAAGGATATATTTTTAGCTCCTCAGAATGRTCACAACTTTTTAGCCAAATCTTCCAGACCCTCCTGAGTTGCTATAAAACGATAAAATCTATAATAATTGCTTTTCATGTATAGGGTATAAGACAGTAATAAAGGGTTAAATGACTGGGTTAAGTGATTCAGGGACTGGATGGATATGAATGGATTATAATATAGTAAATTAGTATTTATAGCGGGCATCGCCCTGAATAGTCTTAACTAATTGCGATGCCCGCTAACTACTCATGTGTAAATTATTATTATTTATTGAATTAAACTTGAAACTTGAACTTAAGTGGATAAAATGGACTGAGAAATAGATAAATGGAAAAATGGATAGGACAATGAAGTCATGGATACAGGGAGGAAGAGGGGAAAAAAGGGAGGAAGGAAGGAAGCAGAGAAGGGAAAGAGAAAGGAGAAAATGAATGGACGAAATAACATAGTACGCTGTAATTCAAAAGGATGCAATGTTGTCTTTTACCAATTTATGCCAAAACTCTTGTGATTCCCTCTTCCTGACCCATTTCTGATTTTGCACTTGTTTGTAATGCATGAGAGRATGGAAACATGTCCTCTAGATAAAAAGAAATGATTAGATTACACTATAACAAGCAAAGAGATACTCTGAGACTGACTAGGACTTGAATACACAAAGAGTTTCAACACGGTAATATGAAAATAATAATCCAACCTGCAGCAAACTGACAGTTATTTACCTTTAGCGTTCTTAAATAATGATTGTGAGCCTTTTCTTTCCCCAACTGCTGATGTTGTTGTAACATTACATCTAAATAGTTAGGAAATGCAAAATAGTATGCTATTAAAGAAAGGTGCGTCCGACAAGGTATAATGCATGTGAGGAATAGATAATAACATTACATGACGAACATTATTATAGTGTAATAGATGTGTATTATAACAGAGTGTATGAATGCGCATGTTAAGTTACATGTTCCATTGCATTTGAGGTGGTCAGAAGACATTGAATAAACATACAAAACTTCCAGTGAATTAGAACTCTTCTCTTCCTCGACATGTCTCCTTTATATTCAATAAGGTCAACAAACTCTGCAATTTGTTGGTTCCTTTGCCATCTCATGGTCCACAGTGTCAATGCTTTTGATATCAATGAAATATTGCAATGCCGCACAGCAATTCCTGAAACAAAAATAAATCAACTTAATGTTATTGTAGCTTGTTAATTAAATCATGCAATGTAAAGAGGATATTATATGGATGCGCAGAGATATGGATTTTATCTTTGAGTGTTGAAAAGATCTCTCACGGGTGACCGTAGTGAATGATAATCAGTTTTATCAAATCTTACATAATAATGATGCAGACTGGAAGCATAAAAAGATAGTGTGAATGTTTGGTGAGCAATCTGATCATAATGTCATAAAAGAAAAGATTCAAGTCTAGGTAGATTTTTTTTTGTGTTTCATACTTTTCTGAATATTTTTGAGCTTTTTGACAGTGATGAAGTTCTTCCAACAAATCCATACTTTTGTCATCAAGGACTTGTCAGCCTTTTGTTTAGCAAAATACATTTTTTTCTTGTGTAGTCTGCTTTCATCCCAAACTGACATCCAACAGGTCCAGCTCTGACATGAATATTACAAAATATCAATTTGAATGAATGTTTCATATTGAGCTCATGGCATTACTTATAAATCATGGCATTATTCATAAATCAATTGAATTAATAAAATTAATATAAATTAATAATAAATTAATGACACTAATATGAATTAATCAAAAATTAATTGATAACATAATAACTTTGTACTGAATAATGTTATTATCAAATCAATCAAATTAATATATCATTAATTAAATTAATCCCCTAGAATACCTTGGCTATAAGGTTGARAGCCCAATATTTCAGTGCTGRGTGTTCCATTTCAGTTTGCATTTTTCTCTTTTCAATCRCTTTCATCCACTTTAACCATACCCATCTGRATTAAAGTAACATTTATTGTTAAACTAAATTTCTTCAAACATTGTTGTAAAAAGCCAATAATATGTACAATAATCCTGCAATCAGACTTCTAGAATCAGACTACCTTTTAAGTGAATAATTTGCTATTTCCAATGCATGTTCTTTCTTTCTCTTCTTGAGTTTTCTATCATTCAGATATCTCTTCCATGCTGAAATGCATAGTGCCTGTGCTGCTCCATTGTCTGAAACAATAAATAATTTATTGCTTGATATTGTAGTTTTTATTCTTTATTCGGACCAGATTATATAATGAAATCAAGATAGCAGGTTCACCAGTAATGTGAAATAACAAAGAAAGGCATATAACACACAAAGATATGTACAGTAGAACAATAGTCATTGTTTAAAACAATCTATCAATTCTTTGTTTTTTTGATGCCTCACTTAATCACAAGCTTGCTCTGATGGTGTGGTCAACCTCCACCACAACCTGGCTTCACTGACTTTAACAAGCACTTAATTATACTCACAATGTTGAATGGCTCTTTGCAATTTCTCATTTTTGACCCTTTGTATCATTACATAAGCCCTCCAATTCCTCCATACTTTAACCCATGTCCTGTATCTAACAAACCAATGTACAATTTTTTATAATACAATAAATGTACAAAGGATAGACAGACAGAAAGATGGTCACAGACAGACAGACAGATGAATGGATGAGTTGAGTATATTAGTGGAAATATGGATAAACAAGAAATGGATGGAAGAATGGAAGATCAAATAAATAAATGAATGGGATTCATGGACAAATGAATGAATGGCAAGGAG